ATTCCTACCCCTCCTAACCCCCCGGTAAACCCCCCTTCGAGTCCCGACCCCAACTCATCCCTCACCTACGTCAATTGCACTCCGTAAGTATAATTCACTTTAAAGTCAAAACTTTTGAGTTTAAAGTCAATTATTCTTACGGGGTGCAATTGACGTAGGTGGGGGGATGAGTTGGGGTCGGGACCAGCCAGAGGGGTTTACCGGGGGGGTTAGGAGGGTAGGAATCATCAATTTTATGAATGGAGCTCCGTAGGGGGGCAGTGGCTTCTGTGGCCACTGGAATCCAGTGGCCACGGAACCTAACTGTTGAATAAATAAACCGTAAGAATAAAATTGTGAATAAATATGTTCATTTGATTATCCTGATTTAAATGAGGATTATGAATTAATGAACCATGATTCAAAATGAATACATTAATGAGTAAGAAAATAATGTGTATTGTTAAGGCTATCTAGGAAACCTCTAAGATAGACCTCAGATTAGAATGGACTTGCGTAAATATGTATATTCGGTGAATTGGATAAAAACGTACAAATGGGATTCATAGAAAAAACTAGAGGATCACTCGTTTGGCAATACCCCGACCCGACGATGATTACTCCCTGTTCTATTTTTGCCTAAAACTGACTATAGTTTAATAGTGTGGGAATATTAGCCTTAAACTAACCATAGTTTAAGAGTCTAGTTATCAATTGCGTTAAACTAACCACAGTTTAAGAGTCTGGTTATTCAAAGAAAGTATCCTTAAACTAACCATAGTTTAAGAGCCTGGTTAACAAAATGGAATAGCCTTAAACTAGCCATAGTTTAAGATTCTAGTTATGGAAATATGATTTGGCCTGATACTAAAAATAGTTTAAGAGCGTTGTTATGATATGGCCTTAGACTAAAAATAGTTTCAGAGTGTTGTTATTTGGCCTTAGACTAAAAATAGCTAAGAGCGTTGTTATCATGAATGATGAATTGGCACTATTGAAATAATGAATATTGAATCTTGTATATATCATGAATTAAAATATTGTGAATATCATGAATGATGAATGCTTGAATTGAAGATTATGTGCATGATATCAAATGATTTGATTATCAATTGAGATTCAATTTATATGGATGTTCAATGCATTAGATATCTTTACTTAGCTTTAACGCTGAGCGTGTAGTATGTTTTATTTGCTACACGGAGGTAAATAGAGAGAATGATATGACATGATCTTTACGGTAGATGGAGGCGAGATAGTCAGGATGGATGTGATGGTTTTGAATTAAATTACATAAATTAATTATTTTTTGTGATTTTGATTTGTTAAACTTCCGCAACATTGGAAACTCCGTATTGTTATTGTTATGAATATTATTCTTATGATGAATAAAATTGATTGGAAATGTTTTAAATTTTTACGATTACCAAGTTTATACTTTAGTCCGAAAGGCGCTGCAGACCTGGACGGAATAGGGTGTTACATAAACAACATGAGGGACCAACTCTCCAGGATTGATAGGAGGAAACATCCTCTCTCCCCCCCCCCCCCCACAACTTACAAAATTCAGTTATTGTCTTCCCTCTATGTGTCCTTTTTGCAGAAAACAATGAAGACACTCCTAACCACACACTAGGGGACTGCACGTTCAGTAGAGCNTCTGGATACATTTTGAAGGATTTTTCAGAATCACAAGGAACACCACAAATGGAATAAGAGCTTACTGCACTAGTAAAAAATGGCCAAATAAATCCCCACATTTGCATCACTAAGCAAAACAAACGATTTATCCCTAATAACCGATGCAAAACAAAAAAATCCATGTGTGGAGGATTTGCAATTCCATGTACAAAAAAAATTTCGCGTACCGCTTTGCATTTGCATCGGTTATCCCTAATAACCGATGCAATAGAATATTTGCATCGGTTCTTAGGGATAACCAATGCAAAAGCTGAAAACCTTTTGAATCGGTTATCCCTAATAACCGATGCAAATACTCTTTTGCATCGGTTATTAGGGATAACCGATTCAAAAGGGGATGTTATAGTCAGCCTTCAGTTTCTTATTCTTAAGCGATTTTGAAAAAAACCTCCCCAAACCCTTCACTATATTTCCCGACGCTGTCTTGTGCCTTCGCCGTCGCCTTGTTCGTCGTCACCGTTCCTCGCTCGCCATCGCTCCAAGCTTCACCGTACCCGGCTCGCCATCGCCGTACGTCCTCGCTCTTGCATTCGCCTCAAACCTCCAAATCATGCATTGTTGCCGTCAGGTCGTTGCCATCCCCCTCGCTCGCCGTCACCGTTCCTCCAACTCCTCGCCGCCATCTCTTCCGTCACCGTGCCGTCGCTGTCGCCGTGCTCCTCTACCCTCGCCGTACCTTCCTTCACATTTTCTTAAGGTATTTTTTTAATATTTCACTTTAAATTTTTAATTATAGTATTATTTATTTATATATTTTTATATGTATTAGGTGATTATTTTTTTATTTCAAGTGGTAAATATAATTTTAAATTTATTCCAATGTATTTCCTTTAATTAGTATATATTTGAATTGCTTTTGTGTTTATGTTTAAGTTGAAATGTGATATTGTGATATAGATTGCGTTTGAAATATAGATTGTTGAATTACTTTTTGTTTGATTCTACATGATCTCAGATGTTATAATATAGAAATAACATATATTGACCGACCTAGATACCCGTTTAAAATTAACTCATTAGGAGTAAATTTTAAATAGCTCCCAGTTTTGGAGCTGTTCTTGAAATTCTTCTCTCACTTAGGTAGTGAATGTATTTCTTTCTCTTTGTTCTATCATTTTTTGGTTTGACGTTTCCTAAATGTGTTCTTCGGGTGCATATGTAATTACATTACATTGTGCACTTGGAGAACCATTGGGAAATGCTGCCGAAATTTTGATAGGTCAAAGAAAATGAAATACATTTACTAGTGAGGGTGGCATTTCAAGAATGGGTTAGGATGGTGTAAAGAAGGACCATTTGTATAATGAAGAAGTGCTGCCGGATTTTTGTTACATCATAAGAAATAAAATATTATGTTTCCTGTATTTCTTATATGTTTGTGTGTATATATAAAATGAATGTTAATAATTTTGTTGTGCATTGTTTTGCATGTATCAATCATTTGCCCTTCTTTCTTGCTTAGCAATTCATATGATGGATAGAAGTTGGATTCATATGTCGCGTACATCACCTCAGTTTAGTTCGGGTTTGGAAGAGTTTATTCGTTTCGCAGAAAAACATTCAAAAGAAGGAAAAAAGCTATATTGTCCTTGTAACTCATGTCACAACCATTTTATGGTTGATAGCGCTAAAGATATAAAATTACATGTGTATCGCAAGGGTTTTGACCCAACATACCTGCGATGGAAATGGCATGGAGAGTTAGAAAATCCTTGCAGCTCTAGCTATACTCATAATGACCAAGTCGAGGATGATATTCACGACATCCACAATCTTGAGGTTGAAATGGAAGATGACTTAGGAGCCACTCAAGATGTTCCTCCTGATCAAGTGGTCATTGATGAAGAGCGTAATATGTATGAGAGCTTAGTAAGAAGCTCAAAACACCCGTTGTATCCTCGTTGTACAAAGTTTACACGTTTGAAGGGGGTTTTGGAATTGTTCAATTTAAAAGTAGCAAATGGGTGGAGTGACAAAAGTTTCACGTCTTTATTAAGTTTAATGGGTGAACTTCTTCCAGATGGACACGAATTGCCATCGTCCACTTATGAGGCGAAGAAAATGATGTCTCCAATGGGTGAGGGCTACAAGAAGATACATGCTTGTGTTAATGATTGCATTTTATATGGAAATGAGTTTGAGGATCTCAACGAATGTCCCAAGTGTTTTGCTCCAAGATACAAGGAGTCAACCAAAATGACTCATAACAAGGACAATATGAAAAAAACCAAAAAGACTCCAGTTAAGGTTTTGTGGTACCTTCCAATAATACCAAGGTTCAAGCGTTTGTTTACTTCGATAAAGGACGCTAAGAATCTAGTGTGGCACACAGAGTAGCGAAAAGATAATGGCACCCTGCTTAACATGTAATCATAAACGTTCGTTTCAAAGAAAACTCCCAACGTATTTATGATAACCAAACAGTCAAAATGGGAATCAGCGTGCCTTGATAATCGATTTACAGAACGGAATAATCGACTATCAGGTCACGCTGAACTCCTCAGTTGATCCAGCATAGTGTGACAATCGATTATCACATAAGTGGTAATCGATTATCAGACCCTGTGGATTCTGGAGTTAGAGCTGGTTCACTGGACAATCGATTATCACAGAGCGATAATCGATTATCAGGTCTCTCTGAACATACGACTTTTTCTGATAAACCAACTTGACAATCGATTGTCATAGGGTGACAATTGATTATCACAGTCTGCAGGACTTTGGGGACAGAAGCTGCAGAGCATGATAATCGATTATCAACAGCAGATAATCAATTATCAGCCAGTTCTGAACCCAGGGCCATCATGTTGAACAAATCATAATCAAGCACATATGTAAGAATTGAATTTAACTATTTTTTTCTTTAATCAATGCATTCATTCCATCATGTTAGTTTCTAGACGGATGTTCTAGGTTTCCATCGTATGCATACCGCTGTAGGGAGGACTTCAAGCGCCTACTACAGTGGGCCCGTCCAGGAACCTTTGGGGACCAGCGGGTTTTCATCATGTTGGGCTTGTGTACGTACATAGTAGTCAGGTTACGGCTACTACCCGGTTTTGCTAGTCCACTCGCGATGTTTTCATTGTGCCCGGCTCGTTACCGTTCGGGGACGATGACCGGAGTGCAGGGGTGATCCTGTTGAGTAAGACTAAGCCAGGGGTGTCCCTGATAGTTTAAGTCATGCATTAAGTCATATCATCATCATTATGTTCCTTGTTATTCGAAACAGCTTTAACAGGTGAAAACTTAACAGTTAGTAACGTGTGGTGTCCCGTACGTTAAGTACAGGTATTGATATGGGTATAGCCATATGGGTTATCACTTCATGTTCTTTTGTTAGATTCACTCCTCAGCTTTTGCTGAGTGTGTAGTTGTTTTTGCTACACGCAGGTAGCCGTGACGGAGCGGGTGCCAACCCTGGAGAGCGGTGACGATGGGGAGATGGGCGGCGCACAGACGAACTCTTAATTACTTTCAATAACTTCAGTAATCAATTGGGCATGAACACACCCTTGTCGTTATTTAGTTTGGACTGAACTTATTTAATTACTTCCGCGATTCCTCTGCACTTTTATTACACACGTTTTGGGAGTAACTCCCTGGCATTTATTCCTTTAATTAAAACCCAACCGTTTTCTTATTAAATAATCATTAATGTTTTCGTAACGGATGGTTCTCGGACTTTCCATATAACCCTACCGATCCGTTGGGTCGCGGGTGAACCGGGTCCACGGAAGGCGGGTGTTACAATTTGGTATCAGAGACTACAGGTTCGGTTTTTTTTGGAAAAAAAAAACACAACTTGTCGTCAAAGTCCACAGCCGCATCTCCCATCGCATCACTCCCAGGGAAAGGTACACCGTTATTTAGATCACATGTATGTCATATTATAACTAGTTCTGATTTAAGTTATTCCTTTAGAGAATGAGTCAAGCAGCTCGCAATGACGGACAGGCGGTCCTAGAGGGGGAGCCTGAGCACGTGAGCGTGCACACTGAAGCGTCGAGCTTCACACCTCAGCAGGCCTCCGAGCAGGCGGTCCCGGGCGTGGGCCCTATACCGGAAGCCATCTCTATTGTCCAGCCGCAGTTCGCGGCTAACTTCATGAACTTCCTCCAGCAGATGGCTGGAGCTTACGTGCCACCACTGCCACCACCGCCGCCACCAGTGGCGGTGGTCACTATCGAGAAACTCCGGAAGAATGGAGCTAAAGAATTCTTGGGCGATCAGATCGCCGACCCCATGATTGCCAAACGGTGGTTTGAGCGAACCATCCGAGTGTTGGGGAACCTGAGGGTTCCACAGGAGCAGCGTGGCGACCTTGCAGTCGCATTACTTCAGGATTCCGCCTACGGCTGGTGGAAGCGTGTGGGAGCAGGCATCCCGGAGCCCGTGCAGTGTGCCACATTTGACCGACTCTTCCACGAAGAGTACATCCCTGAGCACTTCGTCGAGGCGAAGCGGGAGGAGTTTTTGAAGTTCACCCAGGGTGAACTCACACTGCCTGAGTATCGTCAGAAGTTTGACGAGCTCGAGGGGTTTGGGCAAGACCTCGTACCGACCGTGGGGAAGCGATGCAAACGCTTCGTGGAGGGTTTACATCCCGACCTTTCGACCCATCTGATCATTGCTCCCCGGAGTGACATCAATGCGTTGTACAAGAATTCATTGGATTTGAATGCGGCCCTCATCAAGAAGGTTGAGTATGAGCAGACGCTAGGAGCGTCAATGGCACCATCTCGCCCTCCTCCACCCCAGAAGGCGGCGACCAGCAGCAAGAGGTCCTTTACAGCGCCGAGTAGCTCTCACCAGAGTAAGAAGGTGAAGTCAGCCCCAACTCAGTCATCTGCGTCCGTACGGAAGAAGGGCAAGAGCGGGGATGGGTTTCGCAACCCGATTTGCGACCTTTGTGGGCGCAGGCACCCAGGAGAGTGTTGGTACACTCTTGGCCTGTGCCTTGGGTGTGGCCAGGCCGGGCATTTCCGAAAAGATTGTCCGAGGAATCCGGGTGAAGCTTTCTCGACCGCACCAGCCGCTCCAGCCCCAGCAGCGCAGCCCGCCCAGAGTCAGAAGTCGGCGGCAGCATCTAGCCAGCCCAAACGGCAGGCATCTGGCGCTCAGGCGGGGAAGGCCCGTACTTACGCAATGCGAGGGTGTACTGAGCAGCCCGCCCATGACGTCATCATGGGTATGTTTACCTTATTCGATACATCTATTACAGCTTTGATTGATCCGGGTTCCACTCTATCATATGTTTGTATGCCTATGCCTGTTATGCCTAACATTCCGAGGGAAAATTTAGACAATCCGGTATTAGTGTCCAACCCATTGGGACACAGTCTACGACTCACCCATGTGTATCACGATTGCCCATTAGTGGTCCAGGGAAANCATGACGTCATCATGGGTATGTTTACCTTATTCGATACATCTATTACAGCTTTGATTGATCCGGGTTCCACTCTATCATATGTTTGTATGCCTATGCCTGTTATGCCTAACATTCCGAGGGAAAATTTAGACAATCCGGTATTAGTGTCCAACCCATTGGGACACAGTCTACGACTCACCCATGTGTATCACGATTGCCCATTAGTGGTCCAGGGAAAGATTTTCCCTGCGAGTCTCATTGAGCTTCCACATCGTGAGTTTGACGTTATTCTAGGCATGGATTGGCTCACCGCCAATCAAGCTGTTGTTGACTGTGGAGTTCATACTGTTCGACTGAGAGCCGAAGACGGTAGTGACGTACTGATCCATGGTGAGCTTCTTCCGAAAGCTCCAGAATTCATTTCCTACATTCATGCTCGTCGACTCGTTCGCAAGAAGTGTGAAGCATTCTTGTGCACAGTGCGTGACACTTGTCAGGAGGCGCCTGGTAGGGGGGACATCCCTACGGTATGTGACTTTCCTGATGTGTTTCCGGATGACTTACCTGGTCTACCACCCCCTAGGGAGGTAGAGTTTTCCATTGATCTTGTTCCAAGAACAGGACCGATCTCGATCACACCTTATCGCATGGCGCCTGCAGAGATGAAGGAGCTGAAGGCTCAACTGTAGGAGTTGCTGGATAAGGGCTTCATCCGGCCTAGTGTGTCTCCTTGGGGAGCACCGGTTCTGTTCGTCCGCAAGAAGGACGGATTGATGCGGTTGTGCATTGATTACCGTCAGTTAAACAAAGTTACCATCAAGAATCGCTATCCGTTACCCCGCATCGACGATTTGTTTGACCAGTTGAGAGGAGCCACAGTCTTCTCTAAGATCGATCTCCGATCAGGGTACCATCAGATTCCCGTCAAGAAGGAGGACGTTCCTAAGACTGCTTTCCGCACGAGATACGGTCATTACGAGTTCACAGTCATGCCCTTTGGTTTGACTAACGCACCAGTAGTGTTCATGGATCTGATGAATAGTGTGTTCTGGAAGCATCTTGATCAGTTTATTGTGGTCTTCATCGATGACATCCTGGTGTACTCCAAGACACAGGAGGAGCATGCCGAGCATCTTCGTGTCGTTCTGAGCATTCTTCGGGAACAGCAGCTCTATGCCAAGCTGTCCAAGTGTGAGTTCTGGTTGCACGAGGTTACCTTCCTCGGCCATGTCATCTCGGCCGAAGGTGTGAAGGTAGACCCGTGTAAGATAGCAGCGATCACGGAGTGGAAGACTCCGCGAAATGCACGTGAGGTGAGAAGTTTTCTCGGACTGGCGGGTTACTATCGTTGGTTCGTGAAGGACTTCTCCAAAATAGCATCGCCACTACACAAGCTGATGAGGAAGGACGTCAAGTTCATTTGGACTGACGCTTGTCAGCAGAGTTTCGAGTGACTGAAGAAGTGTCTGACCCAGGCACCAGTTCTAGTCCAGCCCACTCCAGGAGTGGAGTATACGGTTTTCAGCGACGCGTCTCATAACGGCTTGGGGTGTGTTCTCATGCAGGAGGGCAAGGTCGTTGCTTATGCGTCCCGGCAGTTGAAGCCACATGAGTGTAATTACCCGACGCACGACCTTGAGATGGCAGCTATTGTACTCGCTTTGAAGATCTGGAGGCATTATCTCTACGGTGAGACGACGCGTATCTTCACCGACCATAAGAGTCTTCAGTACTTGTTGACGCAGAAGGATCTGAATCTCCGACAGAGGAGGTGGTTAGAGTTGATTAAGGACTATGACTGTCACATCGCTTACCACCCAGGTAAGGCGAATGTGGTAGCCGATGCCCTTAGTCGTAAGACTCTAGCTGTGCTACACGTCCAGCCTACATTACAGTAGCAGATAGCCTCAACCCAGAGCAGTGATGATTTCTGTATCGAGAGCTTTGGGCTCGTCTCTCGAGGAGAGAAGCCAGATTTTGCAGTTCGAGATGGTATCTTGTACTATCAGGAGCGTATGGTTGTGCCAGCGGGGGAGGTGAGAGAACGCCTGCTTCGTGAAGCACACAACACTATGTATACCATGCACCCGGGTAGTAACAAGATGTTCCAGGACCTTAGGATACATTACTGGTGGCTCGCAATGAAGCGGGAGATCACTGAATTCACGTCGCGGTGTTTGACTTGTCAGCAGGTCAAGGCCGAGCACCAGGTTCCTTCAGGATTGCTTCAGCAGATCACCATTCCCGAGTGGAAGTGGGATCGCATTACGATGGATTTCGTCGTGGGACTGCCATTGTCACCACGTAAGCACGACACAGCTTGGGTCATCATTGATCGGTTGACCAAGTCAGCACATTTCCTCCCCATTCGTCGTGACCTCTCACTCCAGCGATTAGCGGAGTTATACATCCACGAGATCATCAGGCTACATGGAGTACCGTCATCTATCATTTCGGATCGTGACCCTCGATTCACATCACAGTTTTGGAAGAGTCTACAAAGGGAATTGGGCTCCGATCTCCACTTTAGTACGGCGTTCCACCCTCAGACAGACGGTCAGTCGGAGAGGGTGATTCAGATTCTCGAGGATATGATGCGTGCGTGTGCAATCGACTTCGGGGATGGTTGGGAGCGNAGTTATACATCCACGAGATCATCAGGCTACATGGAGTACCGTCATCTATCATTTCGGATCGTGACCCTCGATTCACATCACAGTTTTGGAAGAGTCTACAAAGGGAATTGGGCTCCGATCTCCACTTTAGTACGGCGTTCCACCCTCAGACAGACGGTCAGTCGGAGAGGGTGATTCAGATTCTCGAGGATATGATGCGTGCGTGTGCAATCGACTTCGGGGATGGTTGGGAGCGATACCAGGCTAGCATTGGTATGGCACCGTACGAGGCTCTGTATGGTAGACCCTATCGTACTCCTACCTGCTGGACAGAGCTCAGCGAGAGGAGGTTGGAAGGTTCAGATTTGGTTCGCGAGACTAAAGAGAAGGTCCAGGTGATTAAAGACCGACTTAAGGTGGCTTCGGACCGGCAGAAGTCCTACGCCGACCTTAAAAGGCGTGACATCGAGTATGTAGTCGGGGATAAGGTTTTCCTGAAGGTGTCGCCTTGGAAGAGCGTCCTACGTTTTGGCAAGAAGGGGAAATTGAGTCCAAGGTTTATAGGGCCGTACCCAGTTATTGAACGGGTGGGACCTGTAGCTTACAAGCTCGGGTTACCAGCAGAGTTGAGCAAGATCCACGATGTGTTCCACGACTCCATGCTCCGGAGGTACCGGTCGGACCCTTCTCATGTGATTTCAGCTGATACGGTCACACTTGATGAGAATCTTACGTATGAGGAGGAGCCGGTTAAGATTCTGGCTCATGAGGTCCGTCAGTTGAGGAACAAAACCATTCCGCTGGTCAAGGTTCTGTGGAGAAGTCAAACCGTCGAGGAGGCGACATGGGAAACCGAGGAATCCATGCGCACTCGTTATCCACATCTTTTCAGTGATCAGTGATCAGGTAATTTCGAGGACGAAATTCTCTTAAGGGGTGGATAATTGTAATGCCCTGCAACCCGGTCTAATAGAATTGATTAATTTAATTAATTAATTACTGTTCCGGACCGGGGTTGGGAAAATGAAAAGTTCTTAGAAAAATTATTTGATCATATCATTAAATTCGTCTTGACTGTCTTATTTCAGAAACACAAACGGATTTCAATTCGGACCCGTTTGGGGGAAAAAGCGCGTGCCGTTCAGGTCAGATTTTACAATACGGAGTAAATAAGTTTTGTAACCTCCCTAGACCCTTGGTTCGGCTCCTTCAACACCCCCATCATTTCCAATTAATAGTCTCCTTAATCCACCATTAAAACCCCATCATTTCCTCTCCCTTCACACCCCATTTTGTAACCCCCGAGTATTCACAATCTCCACTCTCTCTCACTCTCTCTTACTTTCAGCCAAGGCAACAGCAGCCAGGGAGGGTTCCGACGAAGCTCCGGTGGGTGCATAGTTGAGGGAGAAGAAAGGAGGGAGGAGCTAGGCCATTCGTGCGAAGCGTTGTCGTCGTTCATCTCGTTCCATCAACCCCTTTCATTTAGAGGTGAGTAGTTGTCCCTCTAATTCTAGAACATTTAGTTATAATCTATGTCGTTATATTCATAGGAATATCGTACGCAACCTACGTAGAATCTATGCATGTTCGTAGGTTAACCATCAAAAATACGAGAGTCTGTGTTATCAAATTACGAACTCGTTAATACAAGCATTTTGAAACTCCGTATATTCATGGAATACTTAACATGTAATCATAAACGTTCGTTTCAAAGAAAACTCCCAACGTATTGATGATAACCAAACAGTCAAAATGGGAATCAGCGTGCCTTGATAATCGATTTACAGAACAGAATAATCGACTATCAGGTCACGCTGAACTCCTCAGTTGATCCAGCATAGTGTGACAATCGATTATCACATAGTGGTAATCGATTATCAGACCCTGTGGATTCTGGAGTTAGAGCTGGTTCACTAGACAATCGATTATCACAGAGCGATAATCGATTATCAGGTCTCTCTGAACTTAGGACTTTTTCTGATAAACCAACTTGACAATCGATTGTCATAGGGTGACAATCGATTATCACTGTAACACCCTAATCCGTCCAGGTCTGCAGCCCCATTCGGACTAAAGTATTTAACTTGGTAATCGTAAAATTTAAAACTTTTCAAACACACTTTATTAATCTCAATAATTTTTTTCATAACATATACAGTACGGAGTATTTAACAATATTGCGGAAGCGAATTTAATATTGACATATCATAAATCATTTCAAAACTTGTCACATCCATCCCGACAATCTCGCCCCATCTGCCGCCAGGATCACATTAATCTTTCTGTTTACCTGCGTGTAGCAAATAAAACATACTACACGCTCAGCGATGAAGCTGAGTAAGCATATCTAAAACGTCCAACATCCACATAAATTGAATCTCAATTCATAATCGACCATTTGATATCATGCACACAATATATGGTTCAAACATTCAAAATATTTTCAATATTTTATTCCAAATCATTTGATATTCAATATATATCAATAATGCTCTTAAATTATTCTTAATCTAGGGCCACATCATTTTATATTCAGCTCTTAGCTATTCCTAGTCTAAGGCAGTAATTCTAACCAGGCCCTTAAACTATAAATAGCTTAATGCAGAACACAAGAATCGATAATCCACCCTATGAGTCATGTGGATTACGTACCAACCAAACAGTGAATTGTCGGGTGGGTGATATCCGTTCTGGATCCCGTACGTACGTTTTAACCCGAAATATGAATTGGTCAAGTAGGTATATCTTAGAGTTCTTCTAGATATCCTTAATAATCATCATCAATATACAAGTGGGTATATCTTAGAGTTCTTCTAGATATCCTTAACAATATACACTGTTTTCATAATCACCATTAATTCATTTTTTTAATCATGACTTAATCATCAATAATCATTTTAGTCAGTAGGTTTATCATTCATAATTATCCATAATAATTTTTCATCATAATGATCATTCAACATAATATTTAATAGCAAACAGCGGCCTAGTCTCGGGTGTTAACACCCGAATTTATCGTCATGCATCACATAATGTTTTATATGCCAAAAACATCATTTATTATACAAAATCATATTTAAGTTGTTCTTAATTAATTAGAATTTTCAAATAATATTTCCAAGAATATTTTCGGGACACTGGAATTGAGGAATAATCGATTTATTCAATAAATTAATATAAAAATCGATTTTTGAATATATATTAATCTATTAAATTTATAAAAATCGATTTTTCAACATATTTTAATCGATTAATTTGTAAAATCGATTTTTCAACATATTTTAATCGATTAATTTGTAAAATCGATTTTTTAATATATTTTAATCGATTAAATACTAAAAATCGATTTTATACCTTAATATAATCGATTATTTTTTTTTATTTTGTTACACGTTATCTGAACAAGTTTTAATCAATTTTTAGGAAGAAAATAATCGATTTTCGATCACTGTTCATCGTCTTCTACCTTCGGTCCATTTTCGGACATATCAATTTTAGTTACTAAACTTCAATTAAACTATATAAAAATGTTCTCCAAGGTTCATAGATCATTTTAAAATCATTAAAACATATTTTTAACATCAAATTCAAGGTTTATGATTCTTGATTCTTCAAACATGTCAAACACAAAACTCAACCAAATGACCATTTATGAACGTAAAAACAACTTATATGAACATTCTAATCTTTAGATATATCTACGGGCTTACCTCGAAACTTAATGGAGGTTTTGGAAATTTTCCGGCGAAACTTCCGGCGAGTATTTCTCCCAACTCCAGCGACTTCACACCAAATTGACAGCACCACAACACTCCTCACACTTTCATGAACATTTAGGAAGAAGAATGAAGAAGAATGGTGAAGAATTGGGTAGGAAGAGGTGGTCCTTATAGCCTTAGTGAGGAAGGAAGAAGACATGGGAGTTTGCAGCTTCCTTGATTGCTCGGTGATTTGGATTTTGGAATTGGCGTAATTGAATATGGCGCGGTTTGGTACGTAGTCCCTGATTGGGACTAATATTTGGTCCCAGTCGGGGTATACTTTTTGGTCCAATTTTCATCAAATTGAAATCCGATTGAACCGTTGGGGTTAGACAGTCAAACTCTACACAATGATATACTTTTCATAATTATTTGTAATACTTTTTCCGACATCATATTTTTGGGTGTTTGACTTTAACAGAGTCAAAATTGGTTTAATTGACCTTTCTCATAAAAGGTTCTCTCATTTAATTCATATCAATTATTCTCATGATTTATTTCAAGAAATCATTTCAATATTTACATTCTAAACAAATTCTTTATTTACTCTTGTTTTGGGTCTGTACTCAGGTTCTCAATCAAGACCACACAAATACTCAACATATTGGATTTATCTCTATGAGACTTATCCTGATTTGTGATATTGGATGTCAAAACACATTTCATTTCGGCCCAAAGCCCAATAACTATTTATTTTAATCGAAACAAATTTGACTAATTGAAAAATTTTAGGGTATGTTTTAGGGCATTACAATCACAGTCTGCAGGACTTTGGGGACAGAAGCTGCACAGCATGATAATCGATTATCAACAGCAGATAATCGATTATCAGCCAGTTTTGAACCCAGGGCCATCATGTTGAATAAATCATAATCAAGCACATATGTAAGAATTGAATTTAACTATTTTTTCTTTAATCAATGCATTCATTCCATCATGTTCGTTTCTAGACGGATGTTCTAGGTTTCCATCGTATGCATACTGCTGTAGGGAGGACTTCAAGCGCCTACTACAGTGGGCCCGTCCAGGAACCTTTGGGGACCAGCAGGTTTTCATCATGTTGGGCTTGTGTACGTACATAGTAGTCAGGTTACGGCTACTACCCGGTTTTGCTAGTCCACTCGCGATGTTTTCATCGTGCCTGGCTCGTTACCGTTCGGGGACGATGACCGGAGTGCAGGGGTGATCCTGTCGAGTAAGACTAAGCCAGGGGTGTCCCTGATAGTTTAAGTCATGCATTAAGTCATATCATCATCATTATGTTCCTTATTATTCGAAACAGCTTTAACAGGTGAAAACTAAACAGTTAGTAACGTGTGGTGTCCCGTACGTTAAGTACAGGTATTGATATGGGTATAGCCATATGGGTTATCACTTCATGTTCTTTTGTTAGATTCACTCCTCAGCTTTTGCTGAGCGTGTAGTTGTTTTTGCTACACGCAGGTAGCCGTGACGGAGCGGGTGCCAACCCTGGAGAGCGGTGACGATGGGGAGATGGGCGGCGCACGGACGAACTCTTAATTACTTTCAATAACTTGTCATTAGTTAACCCGTACTTGGGTGGGAACAGCAATAAATCAAACCTGACTTGAATAAATTAATGAAGGCGCTAAGGAGACGTGAAAATAATGTGTGCAAAACCCTCATTGAGGGACCGTATTATTCCTTTAATTAAAACCCAACCGTTTTCTTATTAAATAATCATTAATGTTTTCGTAACGGATGGTTCTCGGACTTTCCATATAACCCTACCGGTCCGTTGGGTCGCGGGTGAACCGGGTCCACGGAAGGCGGGTGTTACATCAATATTTTGGGAACAACCTTATTGGGAGTGCTTATCTGTCAGACATTGTCTTGATGTGATGCATATAGAAAAAAATGTATTTGATAGTCTTATTGTCACCCTCCTAAATGTTCCTGACAAGACTAAAGATGGTGTTAATGCCAGAAAAGACTTAATAGACATGGGCATTTGAACTGAGCTTGGACCGCAAGAAAAAGGACATCGCACATTTCTACCTCCTGCTTGCTACACACTTTCTAGAGAAGAAAAAATCACTCTTTGTCAATGTCTACATGATATAAAGGTTCCACAATGGTATGCTGGAAACATTAAGAGTCGTGTGTCGATGAAGGATTTGAAATTGAACGGTCTTAAATCTCACGATTGCCATGTTTTAATTCAGCATGTCTTGCCAGTGGCAATTAGATCTATATTGCCAACGAATGTGAGGGGGGCAATAACTGGACTTTGTTATTTTTTTAACGCCATTTGTAGTAAGATCATTGATGCTGAAACGTTGGATCAGTTACAAGAGGAAGTGGTAGTCACCTTATGTGAATTTGAGATGTTCAATTCTTTCCTCCATCATTTTTTGATATCATGGTCCATTTAGTTGTGCATTTGGTGAGAGAAGTTAAACTTTGTGGCCTTGTTTTTCTTCGGTACATGTATCCATTAGAGAGATTTATGGGTATTTTGAAAAGATATGTGAGGAACCGGTATAGATCTGAGGGCAGTATTGTTGAAGGATATTTGGAAGAAGAGATTATTGAATTCTGTAGCGAGTATTTGGATTTGGGGTGCACGGTTGGGGTACCGAAGTCTCGGCATGAAGGTAGAACAGAGGGGAAAGGAACAATAGGACATGACATCATCCATCTTGACTCTGAAATGTTCTTTTTAGCACAACTCTATATTTTACAACAAACAGATGATGTTCGTCCGTATTTAGAGAAACACATGTCTCTTTTAAGACAAGAGAACCCTGGGAAAACTGAGAGGTGGTTGACCAATGAGCACAATCGTATATTTCTAAAATGGTTTCAAGATCATGTTCGCTGGCAAACAATACATTCTCCTCATAATGTCACAGAAAATGTGCGATCATTAGCTACAGGACCGTTGGTAAATGTATCTTCTTACGAGGAGTACTACATGAATGGCTATTATTTTTACACAAAACGTCAGAATAAGAAGAGTACAGTACAGAATAGCGGTGTGTCCTTGAATGCTTCTTCCCTACACATTCCTAGGGGTAAAGATTCGACACCGATCCGGTCATACAAAACATACTATGGGTTGATCGAGGATACATGGGAACTCGAATATACAAACTTCACAATTCCTGTTTTACGGTGTAAATGGGTGGATATCAACAAGGGGATTAAATCAGATGACATGGGGATTAAATTAGTGAATTTTCAGAAGTTGGGTCATCATGAGGAACCAATTATAATGGCCTCTCAAGCGACACAAATCTATTACATTGTTGATCCTAAAGATAAAAATTGGTCTGTTGTTCGACAAGGGAAGAGGGCATCAATTGAGTTGGACGATGGTTTATACGACGAAGCAACTGGTATTTCAATGATTTTGCCAAACTCACAAGTAGATGATATAGGAGTAAAATACATTCGCGAAGATCACGAAGAAGGATTATGGATAGATGGGGGAAAGAAAAAGTGAAAATAATGCTTTAGGTATTTTTTCTGTTTATATTGATCATTTTCATTTAATTCATTGTTGTTTCACTTTTATTATACTTATATTATCTAGATTATTTTGAATTTGTGTAGGTATGGCAGACGAACGGAAGAAGAAAAAGGTTAGAGGTGCAGGGAAGTGCGAGAAGCTGTATAAGAGGAGGAGGGAGGGTCACCCGCCTATAGAGCTTGAGTGGGAGCGTGGGGAGCCTGTACGTGGACCGTATGTTTCGAAGTTTTCTGGGCTTGTAGGGTTTGAGGTCCGATCGAGAGTGCCGATTACTTATAATAATTGGCATGAAGTTCCGAAAGACCTGAAGGCCACGGTACTAGATGGTGTTCGGGTAGGTACCACTTTATGTATCCAAATTTGCTAAATTTAATTGTTACATGGTTCTATATATAATAAGTTGTTGCTTCATTTTCTTGTAGGCTATATATGTGATACCTCCCGGTGGGGCCCGGCATGTCATGACGGTTGCCGTGTCGAGACTTCGCGCTTTCAGGACATATTTACGAAAAGCCTATTTGGCGGAGGGTGGGGAACATTACGGCAAGTCTCCCTCTGGTCTTTACACCTTCATAGATCCAGAGCATTGGGAGGAGTTTCAGATCCAGATGGGGACTCCGGAAGCTAAGGTAAACCATAATTACCTTCATTGAATGAAATTATTAACTGACATATTAATTTATTTTAAACAATTGTTTTAGACTTTGAGCGAGAAGAATAGGGATATACAGTAAAAGAATTCCTATCCGCACTATATGGGCCGGGCTGGATATGCCATTCTTTAGCGTGAGTTTCTGCGGATATCGCTGGTTCGTCTACCGAGACGGGTTCTCAACTCGGATGGGAGGACTCTTGGTTGCGAGGTCACAACCCAGGGAGGCAGGCAGAAGTTACGGACCCTGCACTGATGGAGATTTGTGATAGGATAGTAAGCATATAATCTACAATTACGTCAATATATTTGTTTATTACTTGTTTATTATTTGCTTACAATTTCTTTACTTATTTTCTTTCTTAACTGTAGGTCCAACTGAAGAAAGAGGTCGCAGCTGGTACCTTTGTGCTAGAAGGGCACAATGATGTACTGACTAGAGCTTTAGGGACCGTCAAGCACCCGGGGCAGACGAGGGGTGTTGGGTCATATTCGGGCTTAAGTAAAGTTTTCAAAGGCAACATGAGGCCTCGTAAGCCCGAAGGTAACTATATGACTGAGGAGGATCTTTTGCAGCGTCTTCCTTCCCTTCTGCAGCAGTATGGAGTATCTATGTCTGGGGGTGCTCCAGACTTTGCATCCATGTCGCAGCACACACCTTCTGTAGCACCTCCTTATGGGCAGCGTAGTAATAAGGCGTCTATAGATTTTGTTGTACATATATTTTTTAATTTATGTTTCAAGTTTGGTTTACGTTTACTTGTTTCCGACATTAGTTTACTAATTGTTTTTTGTAGGTTGCTGCTTGTTACTTGAGGATCTTTGATCCATCGAGTTATATAATGGCACATGGATCGGTTTTCCCACGTGCCCTGGGAGATGTGGTGCACGGTGTTCCACTCCTTCCTCAACAGGTTAAGGTCTCTGTGACCCTTGTGCTTCCTGGAATGGGTGAGTATACCATTCCTTGTCCGACTGAGCATATAGAGACTGTCGCTGATTGCGAGGGGAGCTTCATTGCATGGCCAAAGTCGTTGGTGGGCTTTGGAGATGTAAGAAGTAAAATAAATTTAGTTCTTTTTTATTTAACATCATTTGGCTGTGTTTCAAATATCTTTTTTTTGAAAATATTCGTAGCCCCCGTTGCACACGGCTCGACATGGCGACTTCTCATCAAGCAAATCCCGTCCTATTCTCGACGTACGCCCCACTGCTCCTCCTAACTCTCCCGTACAAGATGTTGTTGACCGGATCTCATACGTCTCATTCGGGCTGATGTGCACGGAGTTGTGTCAGTGGCTGACACGCACATCAGATTTGCCAACCATCATCGTCATTCTCGATCCCGAGTCTATGCTCTATCAGGAGGAGACAGAGCTTAGGATGCGTCCGGAGAATATATGTGAGTTCATGCGATGGGAGGAGGTCGATCAGGCCATCATCATTGTTTTCTTGAGGTATGTCAAGCACTACGTACGAATAAATTACTATTGTAAATTATAATTATTTGTTATAATTGTAATTATTATTCACATGTGAAATTACTAGATTGTTGCACGATCATATGATAGAGAACGGCATCGCGTCTGTCGGGATGTTATGTCCGGAGAACATGGCATACGTGGTAGGTTTTGGAGATCTCCAGTATCTGGATAGAGCACTCGAGACCTATCAATCGCAACCATGGATACTTATGCCGTTGTATCTATCGATGTCGTATGTTTTCTAAACCATTTCCAATATGTATTTCGGTTTTTTATTTTACATATAGTGACTAGCGCTTTCTCAATTGTAGGCATCATTGGGTGTTAGTTGTAATATGTTTGTTTGAAAACAAAGTATATTTCCTAAACTCAATCAAGGCGACCAGAGGGCATAAGAAAATGAAGGTGAAGACTTTCGTCAACGAGTAAGTATTAAGAAATTTATTTCTTATTAATGAAATTCTTTATTTGTTAAGATATTAATTTCTTATTGACTTGTTTTTTACATATATTAAAGGTCTTGGCGGTTACTTCGGGAACGACACATGCCTCAGCTTAAGGCTCGACCGGATTGGGTTGATGTTCCCGGAGTACCCCAACAAGTAGGGAACGTTGATTGTGGTTATTATACCATGCGATTTTGTTGGCTCATCGTCACTATGTGTGCACAATGTTCTTTACCGTTATCCGATGTAAGTTTATTTTAGTGTATTTTTGAAAGTAATGAAGTGTTTATCATCATTTTCTTTTTCATAGATTATTAAACTTTATGTTGTATGTTGTTTTCGTATTGCAGGTGTTTCAGTCTACTTCACCTTATCCTAGAGCCTAACTAGAAGAGATTAGAGAGTTTTGGGCGGGGGGTTTTCTCGATGAACTAGTGTAAGTTTTGTATTGTATTGTATAGTATTAGTTGTATGTTAGAAGAGTGTAGTTGTTAGACTCTTAGTTGTGGTTAAAACTTAGTTTGTAAATGTTGATATTTATTTAGAATGTACAAGTAGTGATGGATGCAAAGCTTTACTTTTTTGGTTTATTTTGTTTTGTGGCATTTGGGTTTTGTGAATGTATTTGTGCGTTGTTGGTTTGTGTAGCTATTGTGCTAATGGGTTGAATTCTTGTTGTTGTTGAACCTGTATATTTTGCACAGAATTCTGTGCAAAATTGAATATGTAGTGAATTGGAAGCAAACAAAATAAACCATTTAAAAAAAAATATTTTTTTGCATCGGTTATTTGCTAATAACCGATGCACCGGCGCCAAATCTGGGTAGAGGCTTTTGCATCGGTTATTTAGTAATAACCGATGCAAATGATAAGCTTTTGCATCGGTTTTAACAACCGATGCAAAAAGTTACCAGAGCATTTGCATCGCTGGCTTTTGCATCGGTTAAAAACCGATTTAAAAGGGTCAAAATAACCGATTTAAAAAGTGTTTTTTGTAGTAGTGTCGGATGCAATGGTGGAGGGGACCTAACAACTTCACCAAAGTTGTTGTTATACACACACACGCACACACACACAGATATATATATATATATATATATATATATATATATATATATATATATATATATATATATATATATATATATAAATCCCGGTAGCGTTCCACCAAAATCAGTGGGGTAAGGACCAGGGAACCCTTACCAAAATTTATTAAAAACTATCACCACGTTCGGGGGGGACTAGACCAGAACCCCGAAAGTTACAAGGGACCACCGAGCAAATTTACATTAATAACCCACATAAAGAAATTCATAAATAAAAATAAAAATCAGGGTGCCTAAAGTCTCCCGCGCCTCCTTTGAAGATTCACCTGTGTGCCTTTTCCCCGTTGAGCAGAAACCATGTAGCTTCTTCCTCTTAATATGTTACCCAATGTGTACTCGAGCTGCAACTCATCCCCCATGGTAGGACTGAAGGTTTCTCCCGCTCAAACAGATAGTTTGAAACCCTAGGTCAAATAGTTCCAGATCCTTTAATGCCCAACTCTTCTTCCTGTGAATCTAGCACCAGCCTTGGATCATCTTCTTGATTTGGTTGTGCGCGGTAGCTGTGGAGGGTCTATCATCACTATAGAACACGGCATTATACATTTTCCATAGGTTCCACGCAATAATACCTGGTAACACCATTTTGAGATTTCCTCTCAAGCTATTGCTCGTTGCTCTGAGACCCCATTCAATGAGGTGTTGTCTCAAGGTAATTCCGTTCCTGGCAATAGGCCCTTGCAGCAAGTTCGAGAAGTAACGCCAGATGCTAATACTGACGTCACAGTGGAGCAAGGTATGATTAATATTGGCCTCCCAGTGCTTGCAAAAAGGGCATTGTGATGGTAGATGATATCCAAGTCTCATGAATAAATGAGGGAATGGTACAATGCCTTGTAGGATTTTCCATTGAAACAGGTTGATATTAGGAATTTGGAGTTTATGCCAAGCCAATTTATAGCTGAACTGTATATTACTCCCTCCCCTGCAAGCATTGTAACCTTTTTTCAAAGTGAACTCCC